TTAATTTAACAAAAAAATTTGGACACGCTGCACCATGCCTAACAATCACGGTCCACGTTCAAGAGCGTTCGTGTTCACTTCCTTTGCCGAACGCTGCCCAACGCCTGCGACCTACAAATATATTATCTACCAACAAGAGCTCTGCCCAACAACTGGCCGCCTACACTATCAGGGTTTTGTATACTTCACAAACCCACGATCATTTGACAACGTCCGACGTGAATTCGGAGGCCTAACACATGTTGAAGTCGCCCACGACATAAAAGCATCCATTGAATATTGCTGCAAAGAAGAAACACGTGTTGGCACAACATACGAAGACGGCTCCAGACCGGAATGTGCCAGACCAAAAGGGTGGTGGCAACAGATCAGCATAGCGCAATTATGGGAAGAAGAACCAGACTGGATGTTACGTCACCATTCCGCAGTCACCGCATACCACAGACAATTAAAAAAAGTGACATTTGCCCGCCCAAAGCCTGACGTCATCGTACTCTGGGGTCCACCCGGGACCGGAAAGTCCCACACAGCTCGCTCAATTTGCAATGACTATTACGTGAAACCCGCTGGCAACTGGTGGGATGGATACTTCGGGCAGGATCTGGTGATATTCGACGACTTTTATGGATCTGAAAAATATTGCGACATGCTCCGTTGGTTGTCAGAGAACCCTATAAAAGTACCAGTCAAAGGATCAATGACAGACCTGCTAGCCACGAAATTCGTCATAACAAGTAACGCTGAACCGGACCGGTGGTACCCCCATATTGAAAACACAGACGCACTGATGCGAAGAATTACCGAAATAATTCACATGGATAAAGTTTACGTTTCGAGTGAAACACAGTTTTGAAATTAAAACATATAAAGCTATCTAATCAACACTATCTGTACCCTTATCAGTAAAAGAAGTAGCCAAATTATCTCCCAAGTCTTCATTACCAATAGACTGACCAGCATTATTAGCATTAATAGGCCCAGAATTATCCACTTTACCACCCAAACACTTACGACCCTTCAAAGCAATAGTCAACTTAAGCTCCACATCAATAGTAACCTTAGCAGTAGTCGGACCATCAACATAGAAATAACCTATAGACTGCTGAGAAGCAAACTTACCAGAATCCTTACCCGCATCATCCTTATCACCACGATCAATAGGAAGCCACGGAGGAGAACCAGCCTTGAAAAACTCAATAACTTGTTCAATACCTTTTTTAGGATCCCGATTATCATAATGGAAACGCTGACTAACAGGAACAGAATTACGAATATACTTCGCAGTCCAATTATCACCAACAAGTATAGCAGACGCCATCTGTCTGGGATGAATCATAGGCTCATCGACACCCGA